GGAAATCGACACAGGGGAAGAAATTAAATCTGCAGCTGAGCCCTCAGCCAATACTTGGGGGTCAGGAACACTGGTGTGATTGCCTTCCATTGCCCAGCATCATGCAAAAGAAAAGTCACGGAGCAGGTTATACCGAAAAAAGAAGGGCACAAGATGAAGCTATTCACAGGAGACTTCAAAACTGAGAACTTCAATAAAACTTTTCCCTCGCTCAGTAATAAGCTCTACTTCTTTTAGCTTAGGATCAGCCTTAGCTTTTCCCAAGGTTCATTGTGAAGGAAAACACACAAAGTGCATGGTATGCACTGCCGCTTATTGGCATTTAATGCTTCTTGAACAACTACAATGCAAATACTCATCACAATAGATGGGAACCTTTGTGGAAACAAGAATTCCCACAAATTGTTCAAGAATACAGTAAACGAATACTATTATAAACAAAAGCCCCAATCCTGCACAAATTAGTATATTGCATTTACCCACAGATTAATCCACTATGCATTTACTGAAGTTTAGTTTGTAGAGCATCTTCTGAAAAAGAAGTATTTCATAACTCAAACAAGGAGTACTTTTGATTTATAGATATGTTAGCACCAAACATCTTGCAGATCTCTAAACTTTTTTTGGTGGGAGGGAGCATTATTAGGACTCTTCTGACAGACTTTTGCTCATATAGGATATTGCATGACACAGTATGAAGTTTATGAAGTTAAACTATTTTAAAGCAGGCTCTGTTTTGCAATATTTAACAAGCAATATATCAACACACTAACACACAGAGTAACTTTAAAAGTGACGTTCAGAGTTTTTCAAAGGAAAGCACCAAAACTCCACTGACATATAAATGTATAAGTAATCAAGGCTAAAAGTAAATGACATGTCAATACCTTTCATGACTATTTATGTTTTGCTGATACAACTACACAATTAAAACACATGCAAGCAGAATCTGCTCTACATAATACATTAAAAAAAAAGTTCTTCATCCCACGATGCACTCATTTTACAAGCCTCACCTCTCTGTTCAACACAACAATATGTTAACATAACCCAGAAGCGTTTGCATGTGTTTTTACTTACAGGCAAGCTGTTTACATGCAAAGCATAGATTTTTTAATCTTCTCCCTATGAGCCTACTTGGGGAGAAAAGGGAAAAAAATACTCCCTTTGCTTACTGCATCTTAAGTACTCCTTAAAAACTATTATTATTTTTGTTTATCCAGAACTAAGAGAGAATGAAGTAAAACACTGTCAGAAACGACAACAGCAGCAGCACAGGAAGAAACAGTTTTTACTTTTATCTCGCGTACGCTTGACAGCTCAGTTTTTAAAGTGCGTTTCCTCGATCAACAGCACAAGATAAGAGATAGAGGGGGTGCATACGCACGTATGTATTTATATGAACACCCACGTATATATCACTAAAAGAACAGGCACGACTAAGACCGCAGCAGGAGCCCCTGAAGGGCCCCGGACCCCAGCCCGGCACAGGGCGGACTCCAGGGGGCTGCGAGGGGCAGAGGAAGCCCCCCCGCCCCCCTCCATCCTGCGCTCCGAGGGCGGGAGGAAGGGCGGGGTGCGGGGGGAGGCGTGAGGGAGAAGTGGCCCAAGCGCAGGACTGCGCCGAGCAGCATCGCCCCGGGACGGGGGGACAGGGGTCACCTCCCCCGGGAGGAGGAGGAGGAAGGGGGGACCCCCGCGCGCACGCGGAGCGGAGGGGTGGCGGGGACACAGCCCAACGCCGCAAGCCCGCGCTCCGGAGCGGTTTTCGCTGCTGCTCCTGCAGCAGCCCCGGCGGGCGCCTC